TCAGGGCACGGTCTTGCCTGTGGAACTCCAAGCAGGGAGCGATTTCCATGGACAGGGAAGGGACAGGAAAGGGAGGAAGGAGGATGCAGCCTTTGCGTTCCTGGCGATGTGTTTGGGAATGGCTCAGCAGGAGAACATGGAAGCGTGTCCTGAGTGTGGAGGTGGCACGCTGGGGACCACACGACACGTGCCCAGTGCAGAAGGTGCTCTCCTGGGAGCCTGGAGCAGCCTTTGGGACCTACAGAGTAAATATGCCCACCGGGCACCGAGGCTCCTGCTCTTGTTTCTGAGCACTGAACACAGGCACATTTCACTCTATTTATTATTTTTAGCAGTTTTTACCAATTCCTATTATTTGTGGAATTTATGTATTGAACAGGACAGAAGAAATCCTGGGTGAACAAAATCTCATTTAGGAGTGTGTGTGTGTGTTTCTAATACAAAACCTCAGTGCAAACAGGCTCTGCCCACCAGGGATGTGCCCCAAAAGGGTGAATGACAGCACTGTTGCCTTAAATGTTCCTTCCTCCAACTGCACGTCAGCGTGTTTCAGATATTTCATTGGTTCCTGATTCCTCTGCTGGTTACCCTGATGGGTTAGCTGGTGACATTCCCTTTTTCTGAAGATGCTTCCTCCTTGGTTTTGCATGAGGGGAGGAATGACCTGTAAGGGGTGAGGCTGGAGAAGGTGCTCTAAAAATGAAAACCCAAGGTAGTGTTTATTAGATGTGTAAAGCTGTAACTGCTGGCGTGCCCAAAGCCAGGCTTTTGTCCATCTTTCAGGGCATTTGAGTGGTATTGCACGGGCTAAGGATTTGGGGAAGGCAGAATGTGGTACCAGATAAGAGCAAAACCTGTGTGTAGTTTGACTATATAGTATATAGCCAAGCTGTTGCCTACCATTACATACAGAACCTTTTCTGCAGCAAAACAGGAGAGAGGTTTGGAAGAAAGCTGCTTTTGAACTAAAAACTAGAGTACTCAGTGTTGGTGTCTCCTTAATCTTTAAAATCTCAGCAGTGATCAGTCTGGCCCTAAAAATGGTTACATGATATAGTCCAAAAACTGACTAAAGCTGAAACACACTGAAGTTGTGTACAACTTGTATTGAAGGCTGTACATATGGGACTAAATAGGGGGTTAATGTAGCTAAGAAAGACGCAGGGAAGCTCCTCTTCACGTTTGCAGTTGCAGTTAAAATAACAGCTTGTAACTTGTTTTCATAGTAGAGTTGTTTTGTTGTCTGTTGCCTGTAACACGTTTTGGAGGCCGCAGTTAATGACAGCACTATCTGTGCTAGCCGTGAGGTGAGCGATACAATTAGGATTGCACGTCCCTGCAGGAAAACAGCCAGTGGGTGTCATATGACGTAGCTCAAAATGAACACTGACTGCATCGGTTTTATGCTTCATTTCATACAGTGTAGTAATGTTGTGGTCCTGCTTTGTGGAGGGGCTGAATTAAAAATACACGCGTTTGAATCGACGGCAAGGCTTATGGTATGATGGAGCTTTTGTGGTTTGCCGCTTGGAAGTTCCTATAAATTCCAGCAGCAAATAATGCCAGGGAGCTGCTGGCTTCAGCTTGGGGTTTTTGGCAGTTGTGATTGTTTCGGATTTGTGCTTTCCTCTTCTATCTAGCAGTTGCCCTTTACGAACATCTCAAGAAAAAAGAGCGGAGGATTTTGCAGTAGCTTCCACCCCGACTGAAGACTCTTAAATAAAAGTATAAGTTGTAACTGGGAAAAAAAAATATGACCTGTCAATGACTTTAGATGTAATCTTATTCTGAAAAATAAGATTTGCTGAAGAGTCACTGTGTTTGTTTTACTATTTGATTGCAGGAGTTTGGGGGGGGGCCTCAAGAAAATGTTCCATGGGAGGCCTGTGATAAATTATAAGCTGCCAAAACTGCAGGGTGGTTTCAGACGAGAGACACATCACTGAGGCCATTTTAAACAGTGCAGCTGAGGTGTTCCTGATTTTGTCGAAGCCATTTTAATGGGAGCACACAAAAGTGGGGGTCATACCAAGTGCTGGATCTTCCTATGCTGCTTTTGTCGCTTCAGTTCATTAAGAGAAAAAAAAAAATCAGTTTATGTTACAGAAAACAGCAATAATGAGGAGAGCCTGGGCGACTGAGACGCCGCTCCTGGATGTCCGTGGAGGTGGCGGAAACCTGCAGGCACCGAGGAGCTCACCGGCCTCGTGTGCAGGCCCAGGGAGCCAAGAGGCAGCTGCTGCCCCACGTCTTGGCTTGCATAAAGGGAGCAGAAGCTTAGGAGAGCTGGGTTTGCCAGCCTGAGGAACTAGTGGTAAGGCTTTTCTTTTTGTTCCCTGGAACGCATTTCTTCCTCTCTTAGGAAGGCTGCACTTGAGAGGGGTGTGTGTGTGGGACTGGGGGGAAGAGAAGAAAACGCTGTTGTTGTTTATTTACTGTGAGTATTCCTGCATCTCTACTGTGGGTTAAAAAATAATCATCAGCTGTGCATGCGAATGGCTTTATAAAGATGCTCAGGGAAATTAACTGGTGAACCCTTCACCAGCTGGAACAAGAGCAGCTGTGTGTCAGCCTGCAGTGTTACCCACTGCGCTCGCGCTCCTGTTGCACACAATGTGCTGAGCTACCTCCTCTCCACAGAGCTCAGCGCTGCTCAGGAACCTGAGGCTTGTCTGAGAAGGCAGGCTTTGCTCTGAGGTCTCTGACGCCAGGATGCTGAGAGTGAGTTCACTGTGCTGTTTTGTTAAACTGTAAAGTCACGATAAATAGCATGACTCTCTTACCTGTGTGAAAAACTTTGGTAAAATGATTAATTTAGAACTTAATGCAAATTGGGGCAAACAAGCCGCTGTCTTTTTTTGCAGTAAGTTTAAAAAGGGTTCAGCTGTTTAAGCTGGTCCTAGGAATAAAAAAATATTTTGAATATTTCAAAAAGCTGAACTTGAAAATTAGCCCAACTCTGAGACCAGCCTACATGATGAGTGTTTTTTTTTTTTCTTTTTTTTTTTTTTTTTGGACAAAAAAATGGATTACCTGTTTTTCGGCAGGACATAGTAAGTGCCCAGCAACATAATTGTGACTATTTCTGTCTATGCTGTCAGAGATGCCAGATACAATGATAAGATATAGTACTTTTAAGCAGCGGAAGATGCACATGGACATGAGCACGTCTATTGGCCTACTAGGAAAAAAGACTCAAAAAGGTTTTGAGAAAAATCTTAATGAAACACTGTTAAGCAGAACAAAGTTCAGCTATTGATGCCATCTGTATATTGCATTTCTGGCTAGGATTGAGATCTTTTTGGTACAGAAATTAGAGAGGTTCATTCACTAGGACATTCATATGCAAACACAAGGCCCAGTAACATGAGAAGGACTCTGCAGGAGTAGAAAGCAAAAGCTGTAGGCAACAAGAGTGTGTTCTCTGAGAAATTATTTGAGGGGGGGGGAAGTGAATAGTTGAACCTGGGGAAAAAGCATGCTAGCACTAAGCTACATGTGAACACACAAAAACTAACACCTGAACACGGAGAGTAAGAGTTGGTGTGTGCTTAAATTGCAGCCTTGTGGGACTGGGCCCGAGCTGCTCCGTTCAGTTCCTGCATCAGAGCTTGGCTTTCCACCCGCAGGACTGTGAAAGCGCTCGGAAGATCAACGGGCAGCTTCCCGGGGGTGATGCCATCCACAGCATGGGCCAGGCTTTCGTGGTAAGCTGCCATCACCCTTAACTACAGCAGATTCAGAAGCAAAGGATTATGCTCTACTTTTACCTCTGTCCAGCCTTACTAAACGTGGAGATGTGTAGCTGATTGATAGGGATTGTCCCCTACCTCTCCCTGCTTAGGTAGTTTGTTCAGTGGCCTCACTGTGGAACTACATTTTAAATGGTCCCAGCAGAGGGGTTATGCACCAGTAGCTGCCACCGAGTCCAGTTTGAATTTAAGTGTGTGGCTGAAAATGAGATTCTTACTGTCCGTCCTCCTACAGCATGATCAGCGCTACTGCACAGGCAAAAAAATATAAAAAAAGAAAGGTAAATTCTGTAAGGAACAAGGTTGGTGTGCTCAATGGAGAGGCAGGCATCATTCATGGACATGTCAGGATGCCTTATGCTGCTGCCACAAAAACTGAAATGAGGAATTTGTAAAAATGGAAGAGCCTGCCTCTAGCCAAGTGTTCATCTTGTCAAATGTTAATGTTAAAAAAGACGCCCTTAACTCCCAGAGAGGACTCCATTTTTGGAAGAGAAGCAGTTGTCTGAATGGTAAGAAAGGTTTGAGGAGGCCGGTGTGCAGGGCACTATCACACTGTCCAGGGAAGGCTGCATTCATCCCCTGCCAAAGCCTACAGCAAGGTTAGCAGAAAGTGCCTCGTCAAGGTGCTCCCAGCTGTCAACTACAGAGACCTTGATTTGTTCGTTCAATCTTTAAAGATCAATGCAAACCTTTATTTTCTATAAATAATTTAATAAATACTTTGTTTTACAATGATACAACAAATGACAAATTCATAGCAAACGAGTCGCAAAGAATTTAGGATCAGTATACTTTAATAAGGTATCAGTGTCAAAATACATTTCCTTATCAAGTTAAAGTTCCCATACAGTTATAATATTGTCAATAAGAATTCAGCAATATAGATTATGAAATAATTATGATGAAAAGTATGATTAATATTAAGACATGGAATATTCTTTCAGAGTGTTTTAGTAAACTGTTAGGGTATAACATTTTAATGCTGAAACTACACAAATAAGAAACAGAAGAGCAGTATTCAAGTGTCATTAATCCTTGAAGCCTTTAAGTCCTTGCCACTGCAAACAGTTTGTCAAAGCTGGCTTGCCAATTTTCAACAGATTTTGATACTTACAATATATTTTTACACATAATTATAAGTTCACTTTAAGAGTAGCTTATTTTTGATAATAAACTTTTGAAAGATTTGCAGTAGGGGACTCTCATACTTTTTTATGCTATGTACCAATAGCAAAAGATCTTCAGGTTTTTTTTTTTCCTTTTAATTTAAGAGTGCATAGTATATATGGTTAAGATTCACTTAACATAATGATCTCTGAAGTGCTCAATGAACTCAAGGCTCCTTTTCTGCAAGTGTCAGTGCATGATAAAAGCAATTTTAGAGAACAGGCTTCAGTGAAGTCTGCGAATAGCTTTGCTCCAAGAACTACTTTCTGGGCCACATTTTTACCTTGTGTAAATTGTCACTGTTTCATTTTCTTCAATGCAGCTACAGTGATTTATACCAGTGGAGGAAGGACGATGACATATTCCAGCAAATATCTAGGTTTGTACATATTTCAAAATCAGAACTACTCACCTACCTTTTATCATAAATTCATTATTTTTGCTGTTTTAAGTATTTTACAATTTACTCCTTCCCATCCTTTGAAAATATTCAAAACCTTTTTTTTAAAAAACATGTGTGTGATAATGGATGATAGTTGAAAAGGAGATCTGAAAATATCTGGCTGCCTTTTAAATGAATTTCAGCTATTGATTAATATAAGGCAAGTTAAATGATAGAGAACTGTCCGCCAGCTACTGATCTCACTACACAATCCTTAATTTTTTTTCTTATCTACTTATAACTGAGTAGCCTAATACACTGGGAAATACTACTTTAAACTTTTCGTTTTAATGATTCAGTATGGTAGGTTATATTGCTAGCTAGCATATAAAATGTATAAAAGCTAACATTAATCAGGGGTGTTAGTACTGGCCTCTGGACAGACTCTGGAAGTATCAGCAACACCATAACAAATACTACTAATTCTAGCAGAAATAGCTCTTAAAAAGTTGTGTCCTAGATATAGCAAAAGTACCAAGAGATGATTACCAATTGACCCAGAGAGAATTAAAAAAAAAAATCTGTTTTGTGTAAAAATAAAAATAACAAAAAAGAAGAAAACAAGAAAGCCCCATCACAAACCAAAAATACAGGTCTAAATCCTCCACTGGGGTAAATCTGTAGGACTCCCATGGCCATAGAGCGAAGCCAGGCTAAGTCAGTCGGCTGAGAATCTGGCTTGTTTCCGAGGGGAAAAAAAACTTACAATGTGCAACTTTCACAGATACCCACAAACATTGCAGTTCACCATTCACATTTCTTTCAACAAAGTGTATTAAAATAAGGGAAGGGGAAGAGTCAGAAGGCTTGCCTTTTTTTTTTTTTCCTTCAGTATGCTTTTCCAAAAGTTATTAGAGTTACAATATGATAAATGCTGGTAAATAGAAAGATTCAAAGGATTCTAATTTGGCAGATCCATGAAAAAAAAAACCTGTGGTTGGAGATCAAATTTGTTGCATTTATCTTTGGCAATAAAAAGAAGTTTTTGCAGTACTGCCGCCAAAGTATCACATGATGAGGCATTTATACCACAGCTTTTTATTAGCATCAAAATTGAAGAAAATTTTAGAGTATAAATTACAGGCAACAAGATAAGGGGACGGCAATCAAACTCTCTAAACAACACTTTAATTGCAACAGAGAAAATACAGTAGATGTATTTCTTTATATGAATAATAAAGTGAGTAACTTCAAAAGGCCACTATTTGGTAACGTAGACAGGTTCAATATCTAAGTAAAATCCTGTAAAAGTGTATTGGTATTAGAAATTGTCTACTTGCAAAAATATATTTAAAAACTGAAGCTGTTTGAACAGTATAGGCCGAGGCCTCTTGCGGGATGGCTCAGGTGGCCTGGTCCAGCGCTCTGAGCAGCTCGCTGCCCTGCAGGAGCGTGGAGCTGCCCAGCACGGGCACGTTCACCTCGCAGTCGTATCTCGTCAGCTCAGGCAGCAGGTACGGCTCGAAGGAGGGCCCCAGCAGACGACTTGTCACACCTGAGAGAGAGGACCACAGTAAGTCATGGTGGCGAGCAAGGCCGGAGAGAGGGAGGCGCCTTGTTCCTCTCCTCCTCTTCTGCTTGCACCACTGAATTTCATTCTGTGTTTAGGTCACTGTGCCTCAAAGCACGTTGCTTTGAGTTTTGCACGTATTTTTGAGCTATGCACATATATTCTTTGCACGCAGCTGGAGTTTTCAGAGTGCCTTTAGCCACTACACACATCACACCAGCACGCTACTGCTTCTTGAAGGTTTTCATCTCCACCCCCATTTGAGGAAAACGATACCAGTTCAAACCAAGAAAGACAGAGTCAGCAAGGGAGTTTTCTAAACTGACACCAACTCTACCTGTATATGTCATACCCCCCACCTTTTTTTTTATTTTTTGGAACATGCCTGCAAGCCACAAACCTCTGGTATCAATGCTGCACTTACTTAAGTTTACTAAACTCTAGACAATTCCATCAAAAGGCAAGAATACGCAAGAGAAACACTAGGCCTCTCAGGTAAAAAGGTATTAAGTTCAACTGTAAACAAAGGGCAAAAAAATCATTTCCTTCCATATCTGTCATGTGTAAACATTACAGTTTCAAACTAAGCAACAGATTTTCAAGTTTTGCATTTGATTGCTCTTACCTGACACTTTATGAGTTGGCTGGACAGCAAAGTCCTGATAATGGGGACTGTAAAACTGAGGGGGGAAAGTTCCTGCTTTCAGAGTCTCACCAGGACTGCCACAGCGGGGCTGCTGCTGCTGCTGCTGGAGTTGCTGCTGCTGCTGCTGCAGTTGGTTCATTGGTTGGCTCAGACCTCTTGAGTTACAAATGAACTCATCTTATTTAAAGAAGAAGAAGAAAGAAAACAGGTAAATTAAGCCTTCATTATTTACTGTAGATAAAAGTAATGAAAAGCCAAGTAATCATCTTCTTGAGGTACACCTAGCTGTGTGGCAAAGGAAGTCCAGGAGCAGTGCTAGCTCTGGAAGCAGCACTGCAACCAAGGTAAGTTTGCATAATGAAACACAGTGTTGTAGAGAGAAAGTATTGGTGCAGCTTTTCTAGCTCTGACATGTCCTCACCTTGCTTGGTTCAGTGCAAGGGAACCGTGTCTCCACTGAGCTGATCTCTGCTACCTCCAAAGCAACAGTGTGACCATGTATGAAACGATCCACTTGGCAATTATCACATGTACTTCGAACTGTTCAGCTCTTAGTCATAGAACCTCATCTTTCATTTTAGCTTATTGTAATTTTTTTCAGGGCTTGTTGACATTATCTTCCTCTTGAAGGAGTATTTGTTTCTATTCAAACTGACTTAAAATTTTGTTTCAGGATTGTACATTACAAAAACAATCTAGTTTGTCTTACCAGTAAGAACACTTGTGCTGAGAGACTTCTTTTCTGTAACCAAGGAACAATTTTCACCTTTGAGAAACTTCATTCTCTTCCACATTAAATGAGATGGGTTAATGACAGATGGGTCTCCCTACAATTTGAAGAGCAGCAAAATGAATAATTACATTCATGATCTTCACGTGCCCAATGTTTTGAAGGAAGGGAAAGCTTTTCTTATAATTACCCCACTCAGCTGTTGCAACGCTTGTTCTTCGTAATCCAGTTGTCGCTTCAGTTTCAGACTGTTGGTCAGAGCAAGTCTCGCTGGATTTATGTCTATACGTTGTTGCCCAAAAGCATCCAGTGGCCTGTGAAGAAAAGATCTCTGAGTGAACAAGCAGGCAAGCAGATCTAAAGCAGATCTAAACCGTCTTGTTCAGTTCCAAGTTCTTCTTTCATTTAAGGTGTCTTTGGCACGTAACAGTAGGTAGAACTCAAGCATTTGATCAAATATTCTTATTTCTTTTTGTCAGTTATTTTGCAAGCCTTGGAGACTTTTGGCTTTGCAGATCAAAGACTAATAAAAGTTTGGTATAAATTGCCTCTAGAAATCTCCAGACAGACATAAAAATGCTGTGGAACAGAGCCATGTAATTTATCAGTATAGGAATTTGAGAGCCATGCCTGTCCTCTTGTTTTGCATGCTAAGTCTGGACACACGTGTTGTTCAGGGACAAACCTTCTTTTTCCAAATGCAAATTTCAGACACTGGTTATTTGTGCCAACAACTAAAAAAAACCCAATGGAAATTTCAGGTAAACTGCACAGCTCCCTGTTTAAAAATGACCCGTGCTATTTTGTGCCATTCCTGAATGTTTTAAGTGTTGGTCACACTAAGAAGGACACTCTGCAGGCAGCCCAAGAGCTCTTTGAAAAGGGTAGGAAACTTGTAGGGCTGTAGCTTTGATCTACAGTTTCATCCAGTGCTGTCCACATGTGCGAGAAAGTGATCAAGGGAAGGATGGCTGTAGGAAAAAGCACCTTTAAATCTTAGTTAAATAGCACTTGCATGTAGCAACAATAAATGTACGTGTCCTAGTCACTCTTCATCCCTCCCGCTCTCCTGGTTTGTGTTGTGCACAAATACATACAAGACAAGGTAAGCAGGGGTTTCAGCTTATTGGTGGCCTGTGCTCCCATCTGTAGGTTTTTCAAAACTTTCCTAAATTGCATACAGTAGAGCTGTTTTTGAAAATCCTGTAGTACTCCTTATGTCTATCAGAACAACTTATTCCATCTGACAGATAAGAATAATTTTTCAAGTTTATGACAAAAAAAACCCCACACAGTAACAACACAGAAATGCTTACCTTTTTTTATATAGGGGGATGTTGGGAGAATGTAATGGTGGCCCTGAGGGGGAACTTGATAAGCATCCTGAGTATTTATCCATGAGTCTCCATTTAGTAGGAACATATTCTATGGGGGGATCAGGTGGCCACTGCGTGTTTGGTCTTCCTCCCATTGAAGACAGGGGAGTGCTGGCTTGGTCATGGTACGGTGGCAGCGATGACCTGCTCACATTGTTGAAGAACACAGATGATAGAGACCCGTGACCAGGGTTAATGTTTTTATTTGATAGCTGTGGGCAATACTTGTCTGGGAGGTACTGACTCTGTGAAGCAGAAGCAAGGGGTTGGAAGATGGTACTCATGCTACTGAGACTCTGCTGGGTATTTTGTGCACTTTCAGGAAGGGGACGTTCTTCTTGGCAGATTGGGCTGAGCTGGAAATCTTCTCCATCCATAGGAATGTAAGGCGCCAAGGTTTCAAGGTCCAGTTCATTGAAATCAGTCTGCACAAAAATAAATGAAGTCCATAAAGAAGGGTTAATAATAATTATGGCAGCTAGCGTTACGTGAAATGCTAGTAGACATGAGGCTGAAGAATCATCACATGCTGAATTTACTGAAATGAAACCGCTCTGCTCCTAAATTTACTCAGATGAAACTGGTCTGCTCCTATCTAAAAATATACCCTATTTCTGTGAATGGCATATATATTCATTGTATCATAATCAGTAAAGGACAA